TTTTTAAGTCTACGTTTAAGTCTATTCAATTATTGTAACTTGTAACATTTATTTGCTTAGATGTTGTTGTTTTTTTCTTGTTTTTATTGCACAACCCCTCTGGGTCAGGGCATGATACCATCCTGTGTGTGCTGTGTCACAATTTCTTTCACTAAGCCACTTTACACTGACTCAACATAATATGAAGGGACCACTATATTTACCAATGTATAGCCTTGTGCCTCCTGTGAAGCAGCCATCTTGTTTTGCAGTCCTATGACTGCTTATTTGATATCAATATCAAAGAGAGATGTCTCTGTCTGCTTTAAAACTATAATGCATGAGCATGCAAAGCCAAGCCACATGGGCAACAGATTCATGGTGCCTTTTCAAATCTGGAATTATACAAACATACATCAGGTCAAAAAAGGATGATTTACAACAATTTAAGGGGAAGAAACCAGACCCAGCACTCAGATCGAAAGATAAACGTAAAGGAAACAACAAATTTGAAAGGCAGCATGGAAGCCCATACTAAATCTGAAACGTTTTAATCTGCACGCCATATGAATCCTGACAGAGTGCACTGCATTTTGATTAACATTCGTGATTCTAATCTAAAGACAATATAACGTAAGGATCAATTGGTATCTTTTAAATACAGCAAGGAAAAAAAATTGTACAACAAAAATACAATAAAAATAACCTATTGAGGAAATGCGTCATAATAAATGCTTTCACTATATAATAAATAAGGTATAAAGGGGAACCAGGAGTTGTTATAAGTTTTACTCCGGTGAATATTGCTCAGTATTTTCTGCAGTCAACTGATGCTTCGGCACATACCTTAAAGTCTTGGCAATACAAAAAAGCTACTGTTTTACCATTATTTGCTGATGAAAAAATACATCACACATTGACCTTTTGTGGTAGGGCATGTTGTCACATTATAGTATATGGGGCCATTGAACAGCCTCGTATGACTGTTCTGCTAAATTAAAATGATTATGAAACAAATAAGAGTGAAACCGCAAACATGTAAATGTCATTGTACAATAACCTTAAACCACTGTTCTGAGCGACAATATTGCAATTGATATATATCATATATTTGCAATATTTTCCACAATATAAACCTTATGCCCTAACCTCACATTTATTGAACATATAAAACAAAAACTGTCAGCTGAATAATCATTTTTCAGTTATAAATATCAGTTGTAGTCAGGCTATAATTGTTCCTTCATGACATAGTTGATTTTGTCTGTCACTTATCAACCCAAAGGCTCAAAAATAGGACGATAACGGTATTTTAAAATTCACTCAAATGATTGCAATATGTCAGTTGTTAATTATGATAGAACTTTTAGTAGCTAACTGAACTCTCATATTTGTTCCAACTAGCCACCGTCTTCCGTGTATTATTGTCGGATGAATCAAATAAACTAGCTGTAGCCTATTTAATAACTCATTTGGGAACTTATGATGCATTTGAATTGGCTAAGTCAAAGCATCTGAATGCTTTACTGTACTAGCTATTGTGGAACAAACCACTTATGGACGAGAGCATCCAAGAGCGCAACAGAACTGCACTGACACCAGTTGCGAGCTGTGGCCGGAGACATCACGACTTCAAAACAAGTGTTACAGACACAGAAACGCGGAAGGAGCATCTGCCCGTTTCTTTTTTTCTCAGTAGTTTTGCCAAATGCCTTTGACGTCTACGTACTGTCATTAGACTATCCAGCCCTTACCTAAAATCGAACTTTTTACTAGAAAAACAGCGAAACCGCGGTGAATTACAACGCAGTCATCCACCGCAAGCGAAAATCTCACGCGCACAGACGGGCCTTAAATTGCGGATAAAGAGCAGCAGGCTGCATGCTTGTACAGCGTCCAGACACGCTGATATTCACACTGCACTGCAGCACGCTGTTGTGGCATCACGAGTTCATGGGGTTAATGAGAAACCGGGCTCACGTGAGCACAGGTGCGTCAGCTGTCTGAAGAGATGATCGCGATAAACTCTTTCTTCATCTCGCCGAACGACACGCGCTAACATGTAATCACAGTCAAATGAGCGCCCTGCAGCCGATCAGCGGTTTACATGCGCCGTCTTGTTTACTATGATTAAGCAACATCGCACACAGTAATATAGCCATTCATAAACAACACAATCCCCATAACAACGGCAGACTGTATTAGACAAAAAGATTTGCGCCCCACCACGATCCTCTTACCTGTGATTTAATGAACTGTCTGGTGAACATGGAATAAAACTTTGAAATGCGCTACAATAGAATCTAGCTTTCAAGCTACGAGATAACTACAGTGTTGGATGATTGTAAAATTCCGCTCTGTCTCCCTTTGTCTTTCTAATGAGTATGAGCGAGACTCTGGATGAACTCCATCACCATTTTGATCAGTTTCAGACAGACTCCAGACACTCTCTGGCCACTCGCAGCGGCTTCGCGAGCGTCGGCGCGCCACAGACTGACAAGCTCCAGACCAATGGCGTCCCGAACTGGAGCATAATATCCAATAACAACAGCCCCCAAAAATGATAACCTCTGAATGACTCCCCGGATGGGTGCAGAGAGAAAAGAATCTTTCGGAAACGCAGTCAAAGAAATATGATTGGGGAGGTGAGGATGAATCAGATTGATCATGCAGACATCATAACGCTTGCTGATATGGATAAACTCTTGAGTCGCAAGAGAGAAGCAGACGGCATAATATTTGCTTTTACTCCGCGGGCGACCGTAGCTTTAAACAGTTGCCTGGATAGCATCACCAAAGGATAACATATTAAATATAAAAAGAGTGTAGGCTACTTGCTGATCCATCTAATTTGAGGTGCTTGTATTAATTATATTTCAAGAGAAATTAAAACCATAAACTAAAAATATAAATAGTTTATTATAAAAGAATAATAGGACGTTGGCATTTCATATAAATAGCTAGGCTACATGATTACACATGTGCTTGGTGTAATCATTGTTGGTTCTTAAGCCAATTAACAGAATTTGGGTTGGTAGCTAACATGAAGTAGTAGGCTACAATGTTGTAGTGGTTTATTACAGAGACCAGGTCCAGTTCCTGTAAAGCCCTTCAACCTGTCAATCCTACAGTGCATCACTGTCAACTGCACTGAGGCAGATCAGATTTTAATGCTGTTTTCACGTTCAAGTATTTGATTTAGATTACATGCTAATGGAAACGTGCTTCCCAGTGAACATAATGTTGTAAATTGGTAGTTGAACGGCTGAGAAAGTAAATATCACAAGAACTGCACTTGATACAGTCTTCCAGTGGCTTCTTCCAAATAGCATCTGTACTGGTTAATTACTCACCTTCATGCCATTCCAAAGTATGGTTATGTTAGCATCTGTACCGCTGCCTCGACAGACGGCAAGACTTGTTTTATCCAGGCCAGAGATACAACTCATGTGTTTCGAGAAGATCTCTATCTAAATCAATACGGGGCTGTTTTGTCACCCCGTAGTAGCAAGTACGTTTTTGTGTGTTAAATGTAGGCGTGATGTTATGTAAAGTGTGTGTTGTAGTGGTTTATTACAGAGACCAGGTCCAGTTCCTGTAAAGCCCTTCAACCTGTCAATCCTACAGTGCATCACTGTCAACTGCACTGAGGCAGATCAGATTTTAATGCTGTTTTCACGTTCAAGTATTTGATTCCCAGTGAACATAATGTTGTAAATTGGTAGTTGAACAGCTTAGAAAGTAAATATCACAAGAACTGCACTTGATACAGTCTTCCAGTGGCTTCTTCCAAATAGCATCTGTACTGGTTAATTACTCACCCTCATGCCATTCCAAACCTATGATCACTGTCAACTGCACTGAGGCAGATCAGATTTTAATGCTGTTTTCACGTTCAAGTATTTGATTTAGATTACATGCTAATGGAAACGTGCTTCCCAGTGAACATAATGTTGTAAATTGGTAGTTGAACGGCTGAGAAAGTAAATATCACAAGAACTGCACTTGATACAGTCTTCCAGTGGCTTCTTCCAAATAGCATCTGTACTGGTTAATTACTCACCTTCATGCCATTCCAAACCTATGTGACTTACTTTCTTCTGTGAAACATAAAAGAAGATATTTGAAAAAGTTTCTCTTTGTTTTTCATTTATATAATGGGGGTAAGTGGTCAGCGCACTGTTTGGTTCCCAGCATTCCTCAAAATATCTTCTTTTGTGCGGAAGAAAGCCATACAGTTTTGGAATGACAGGAGGGCAAGCAAATGATCGCTGAATGTTTCGATTTTGGATAAACCGTCCCCTTAAGATTAGAGATATTCTTCAAAGACTAGTAAATTTGAGAAAAGAGAAATTGTGGTGCTTCAGAATCTTGAACCTGAACATCTCGAGCACAAAATCTTGGCTTTGCAGACTAGGGCTGAGCATATACAATTATTTAAACATGACACATAAAGTATAATTTTATATAAATGTAATAATGTAAGACGAATGTGTTTCGTTTTCTTGTGTGCATGTAGATGATGAGTTTGATGAATATGATAAGCCTGGTGCTGAAAGGTCAAGAAGACGGAGAGGAGAAGATGATGACTTGGAAAGGTAAGTCTTCACTGTCTCATTCCTGGATTAGATTTTATGTCTCTATTAAGCAGAATGAAAAAAAATAATAATAAAGAGAGCATCAGTTTCCCAGAAGCACTCGTAGCATTTCAGCAAAAGTCTTTCATGGCATTCAAAATAAATCTCACCAGCATAGATATAGAGTCTATTGGTTGCCGTGGGGTGTGGTTTCTGCAAAGCAAATGAAGTTGTTGCTTTAATATCTTGCTTTGCTCTACTGAAACGGTGCAAGGCATTTCAAAGATTTATTGTGAAAGCACCATCATTTTTGAATCATAAATGTATCAATTCACAGTGATTTGGAGGAGGGAGACTTACTTGCAGAAGATTGGCTGTCATCTAAAAAGGTAAAGTGATTTCCATCATTGCCAGTTTCTCCTCTACTTAAACTTATTTTTCAGTTGCAGCCTTTTTCAGTGCTTTTAAGCAATCTTAACTGATAGAAATACATAAAATATTCCCAGCAGGTGTACTTGATGTTCAAGACTTATGAGGTCAACAACATATGTAACAATTTCACCAAAATATCAATCATATTAAGCAGAAGATTATTTATTTTTTGTCCACCCCAGAACCCCTCAGAGCTGTCGGATGAGGAGCTAAATGATGACCTGTTACAAAGTGATGAAGAAGACCAAAATGCAAGGTACCCTAACAAAGCCAACAAATAAAACCCTACACTCTAAAAAAATAAATAAAAAAATGCTGGGTTAAAACCAGCTATTGCTGGGTTTTTTATTTTGACTCAGCTGGTTGGGCTAAATGTTTTTACCCAACATGATGGGTTGTTTTATTTAACTCAACTATTGTTTAAAAATTACTATATTGCTGGTTTAAAATGGGCTGGAAAATAAAACATTACACAAAGAATTACTAGAGACAACAGCAATAATCGAAAGATGAACATTTATTAATAAGCAAGAACACCCATGGGGAAAAAAAAGACAAATTGAATTTATTTGGGTGAATAGTTTACAAAATTACATACATTTAAACTCGTTTAACAAGCATTTTAGAAAAAAAATATATAACATTTTAATTCAAGTATATTAAACCATTCTCTGTTATCCCTTTTAACCAAAATAGTGCTGATTCTTGTGCCGGTGTTTCACCAAAATCTGAGCCAGTGATGGGCTGCTTTTCGGCTGGGGAACTGCAAACCTCAGACTGCCGCCTCGCGTTTCACTCATAACTGAAAGATGCTGTGACTGACTCCATAACCTGCCCATAAACAAGCAGTACTGAGATTATTTGAACATAAAAATAAATTAAATTCAGTATTATGTTGAATAAAATCAGTTATGCAAGGCAAAGCGTTTCCATCATGCAAAACAACAGCTGCTGAGACGTTTCGTCGGAGTGAGAGGGAGGGGTGTATAGTTTCAACGGTCAGTGTGATTGACTAACCCAACGGCTGGGTAATAGGGGTGTGCGATATTGACAAAAAATTAAATCTCGATATTTTCTGGGATTTTATCGATAACGATAATTAGACGATATGTTGCTGAGTGTGTTATTGTGCTGGTACCTTAAGGACTGCCGAAGACAGCGGACTCCTAATGTTTTTAATATTCTTCATATTCTGTGTGGTGGTCAGTTCATACTGATAGAAATTAATCTTTTCCAATAAGTTTAAACTGATTTTTGCATTTTATGGGCATTTTTACCTTTATAAAGCCATTTTTTCTAAAAGTGTCCATTATCTTTTGAGTCAAATTCTTACATTTAATCAGGGAATTAGAATAATAAGTCATTTGGGCTGTCACCAAGCAAATTAAATCAACACAGAAGCTGCATCTGAAGTGGCATTTAGATGTATTTACACACATGTATTTTGTTTAATGCAAGACATGAATGCATTTAACCTGTAATTACAAATGCATAAATAATGTTTTGATATATTAAACATAAAACGTTGAATACTGATATTTTAAATGATTTAAAACATGAAAAAAATCTACAAAAAAAAGAAAAGAATGAAAAAGCCGAAATGTGAAATTAAAACCGCAAGTAGGCGGCAGCAAATCACTGTTAATAAGTGAGTCATTGCGATTGAACCGAATCATTTAAACGGTTGATTCATTCAGGAACGTAACACCGTCATGTTGCTCAGAGACACAAAACAGCACTGTGGCTGTATTCGGAATGATTTTTGTTGGCGAAATAGAGCAAAAACAAGCAATATGGTGTCTAAAACATAAGTATCTTAATTAACTTATTGTTTATTGAATTCAATGTCACATTTGTAATCATTTTTGGAGAAAAATGGTACTCTTCGTGTGAAACTGAATAACTATATGAAGTGGTATAAATATATAAATTTTCTGCCATGTCTTGAATTTGTGATCATTCTAAATGCATTTTAATAGACTGAATCATGCAGTGAAAGAAAACACACTAAATGCGCACACGCACTAGTCTAGACTTCACGTAATGTATGCGTGCGCTCTGTAGGGATGTTTTGAATGGTTTTTGCAAAATACTGGATAATGTCAAATCGCACATCGTTAAAACAACAATTACGATATTATCGCAGACTATATATATCGCACACCCCTACTGGATAACACAAAAACTACCAGCACTGGAAAAAAAACAACCCAACATATGACCCAACAGGCTCAACCCAGCATTTTTTAGAGTGTAGACATTTATAAGTTATCTTGTATTGCTGTTTTTGGTCACTTCTTTTATTGAAAAACATAAACTATTGGGTGATGAGACATGAATGAAAATTCCTGAAAATGCCCTGACTAATGTGGATTAAAATTATTTGTTTTAGAAGACCAATATGGCACTCATATCAGTGTAAACATTCAAAATGTTCTTTTCTTTTGGGTTAATTGTCAAATTACTAATTGCGAATCTTCTAATATGATAAAATTGCAATTGTTTTAAGTTAATACAGTTGACGCTACTGCTTGCTAAATCTGAAGATGAGATACTTTTTATGATTATGAATGTCAAAATAGTCTGCAGTATCCCAAAATAGCCTGTATTAAAAGTATTTTTTGCCTTTTTTGCTTTTTATCGTTGTTGCACAGAAAAATGTAAGCTTAAAATGGATATAAAATATCACATTACCCAAACTTTTCAATTTGTCAAAATTGCCTTCACCCCATAATTTATGCAAAGCTTCTAAAATCAATTTATGCTTGCTCTAAAATCAATAGTTCATCCATAACATAATTAGAGATGACATTGAACTAACTTTGACACCTGCCTTAATCAAACAGCTTTCTTTTTTTGCAATAATAATAAAAAAAAAAAAGAGTTGTTTAAAATAAAAATTTTAGGTGACATGCTTCACTTCAGACTCTAATATAGTAATTGTGGTAACGGAAGGGCAAGCACAATAAAAATCTACAAATTCATCAATTTATTGTCCAGAGCTTAACACATGCTTGTCTGTTGATGTCTTTGTGTCTGTGATCCAGTGGTCAGGGTGACGTTGTGAGTTTAAATGCCACACTGGGTCTGGGTACGTCTGGGCACCTTCAAGATGAAGACCCTGATGGAGGTGGATACACTGAATACACCTATGAAGAGACAGAGCGGGGCCAACCGGGTTTCTCTCAGGGTGAGGAATATGAGGGAGATGAGTACCAAGGGGAAGATGAAGAGGTGGAATACACAGGAAACCAGAATTGTGATGAATATCAAGATGAAGTGCTGGACCTACAGATCGACGAGCCACTGGATGATGATTTTCAAGTAAGTAACACTTTCTCTTGCTATCTCTATTGCTTGCACACACTCCCCATAATTAGGTCTGTTGCGGTGAAGAAATTTCTCTTTGAGGTGATTTTTAATGGCTCAATATCACAATATGTGGTGATATCGCTAGAGATGCAATGATCGACCTGCCAGCGACCGGAATTGGCCGTTTTTCCACATGATTGACTCTGACCGGTGACCAGTCAGTCTGACAATTCCGAGCCAGGCTGTTTTGACATCACACCTACGCTCATATCCGCATGTAAATATGTAGTCAGTGTGGAAATTCTTCACTGTGAGTGAAGAAGACACAAAGTTCCCAATTTGTAATACATGTAGGCCCAAAGTAAACCTTGGGGAACCGCAGGAAGTAGGTTTTTTAAAGGGGCAAGTGAGAGAATTTTATATGCCCAACCGGACAAGAAGCCTGATTAAAACCTCCAAAACAAAACTAACTAGGGAAGCACTGAAACTTGGATTTTATTTCATTCAGTGTAAACGGCGACTGATAATGTATTGATGTCATGCCAGATGAGGCTCGAGCAGCCTGTCTGATTGAGAGAGAGACGTGCAGAAATCAAAACAAATGAGCACAACATCACACACAAAGTAACTCACAGAAAGTTACAGATACATAAATATTTATAAATATGATAAAGATATTTATAAAATATGATTTAGGTAAGCAACATTACACGACCAAGATGTTTCCCCGAATATCAACACGATTGCGAAGTGACACTGATTTTATACAATAGTAGTTCAATAAACAAGAAGTTAAAATTAAGTGACTTACATTTTAGACACATCATTGACTCTTTTTGCTCAATTTCGCAAACGAAACGTGTCTCCCAGCAATACAGCACTGTTTGGTTACTGAATTAATCCACATTTTTGAAGGAATGGACTGAGTCAATGATTCAGTAACCCATTCATAAAGACAGTCACTTGCCTCCTCCATTTAAATTAATCAGCTGAATGAATGACTAAATGACTCGCTCATTTGCCACCACCTACTGGTGGTTTGGTTTCATATTTAAAAGTATCGTTGCATTTCTCCCAACATTTCTTAGTTGTATGTTCGAAAAATTATTTAAAACATTAATCTTATAAAATTATTTATGCACTTGAAATTTTGCAGTGTAAATGCATTTATGACACCTCAGCTTCATCAAACAGTATGTATAAATGCATCTAATGCCAGTTAAGATGCAGATTCTGTTTCCTCTGCAGTGGAAAGATGGAGTTTGTTGATACTGATTTCATTTAAACTAACAACTGTACATTTTTTGTGAAAGATGACACATTTAATAGTTAAGCCTAGCTCACTCTACAGGAGTTTTAAAACGAACCTAACCGATTATTAAATCTAGTTGCAGCACACACATAAGGAGAATCTTTGCAGATTATCTTGCCTCAAATCTTAAACATGCACACACTACAAGATATTATTAAAGGGGTCATATGATGTGATTTCAAGTTTTCCTTTCTGGTTGGAGTGTAACAAGCTGATTGTGTATAGATAAGATCCCTGAAGTTGCAAAGACTAAAGTCTCAAAACCAAAGAGATATTCTTTATCAAAGTTAACGCCCCCCTAAAATGGCTCATTCTAACACGCCCCCACATATCTACCTCACTATGTGGAAATATTTGCATAATGCTGCCCAAATGTTCACGCAAAGAAAGAAGGCGTGGTTTCAGTAACACAGTTAGTGTTGAAGCAGCCATATCAGGGAGACACTGTGTGTTTCTAGGCGAAAGCAAAAGAACTTTAGTTCAAATGTTCAAATGCGGAGTTTTGCGCATCGTGTGTGTGTGTGTGTGTGTGTGTGAGAGAGAGAGAGAGAGACAGCGTCACATCAGAGAGAGCGAGAGAGAGACAGCGTCACATCAAAGTGGAGTCAGCTGTCTTAACCGTGGCTTGTGTACTGCACACATACCAGCTTCATCACTGTGTCTGTCACGCGACTCTGTTCCCCTTTCGGGCTCTGTCTTTACATTTATTTTGAAAGATGAAGCTCGCGATTATGGTAAGGGGCGTTACATTTCCGACGAGTGCTTGCGGTGTTCGGCCAATCACAATGCACTGGGTCAGCTGGCCAATCAGAGCAGACTGCGCTTGTCGGAAGGAGGGACTTTGTAGAAAACGAAGCGTTTGAGAGAGGCGGGGCATAGAGGACCTACAATAATGTACAGTATTTTAAAAATAATGTGTTTTTTGAACATTAAAGCATGTCAACATATTCTGTTACACCAAATACACAAAATAATGATCTTTAAAAAAGCATCATATGGCCCCTTTTAGATTATCATGCCAGAGGGAGCGCCTCACGTGATCTCACGCAGCAGATCGTCATTGATATTTCAGTGATGTTTACATATGTTAGCTAGTGTGCTAGCTGCTTTCTACACTCACCCGGTACATTCAAAACTGAGGCGATTTCACTCCAGTGCTTCTCTTTCTCCTTACAGTTGTGATACGTTTTCGACACATTATACAGACAGTCTGTTACTGTAAAACGTCAAGAAGCAGTTTCCTCCGTCTCAACTATCCAACGGGGCCGTACAGCAGCTGTTTTGTGGTCACGCATTGGCTATTGTGAACGTACTGACGTGATCATATAGCTGTCATCATCCCAGTTTAAATCCTAAATATCAAACATGTTTGATATGATCGGGGTGGCCCTGATTTGTGTGCGAGCAGATCGGGAGGTGCAAGATTCGATCGGTGAATGCCTCACATTACCAGATAATCCACGCCAAACATCAGGACAGATCGAGGGGCTTGACAAGATTTTTGCTCCGATTCTCAGGAGGGGGAAATCGGGGCTAAATCGGGCTAAAAATCCTATAGTGTGAGCCAGGCTTTATGGAAAAAAAATGACCAGTTATAAACATAGTGGGAAATGACATCTGTTTTGTTATACCGTTCTCAATTTCAGTTAATTGTTATTTCTACCTCTTTCCGGTCACAGAGCACTTTAATTTGAGAGTTGTTTAAGTGAGAGAACATCTGTAACTTAGTCCAGATTGAGGGAA